CCCCCCCCCCCCCCCCCCACTGTGATTCACCGCTACGCGCCTGCCTAGGTACCATATGGGTGCTGCTGATGTCTTGTCTTGTGGCATTTTGCGAACCAAGCAAAATGAGTTTTAGTTTGGATGGAAATTCTCAAAAGATTGTCATTGTCATTGCCGCGAGTCTCAGTTTGGCGCTGAGTGAGATAGATATTCAGGTACGTACGTAATCATCTGCCCGTCGATCAATGCTAGAGGCTTACGTGTTTAAAAGTTGCTTGGTGATGCTATTCTCGGAGTAGGAAAATCCCGAGCGTCTGCCCGGCCGTGCGAGTCATCCAAGCGGAAGAAGGAAGGGACGGTGAACCCCCATGGGAGGTAGGTAAGGTAGGTAGAGGGCATCATGAACAACGTCCCACTCTCTCTCACCCACACACAACTTTTTTTGTCGGTGAGACATCAACCGACGCGTTCCCTTGGGGCCTCGAACACCCGTCACCCACCTGGAGCGAGCAGTTCCTTATTCCTTCCGCTCTTTTTCCTATCACGCTTCAAGCGAAGCGGTGATCTTTACAGTTATCGTGGCGATCCTGTCTGCTCAAACTCCCAGTGAGAGCTCAAGACTATGTCTTGTTTGCGCTTTTCTGTAACACCCTATTGACTTGGCCAGTTGACCATCAACAGTAAGGATGAAACACGCATTGGTTCATCTCATTCATGTTCTTGGCGAAGAATCATCGGGGTAGTCCCCAGGTCTAGGGCCGAGAAGCAGGTATCTCTAGACATGGGTTCGGGCCGCTCGTCACCGTCTACGGTCAAGAAGAGGGCGCTAGTTGCTCCTGGAGTAGTCCTGGGGCACAATGTCCCCATCCTTGGCTATTCACAGAGAGACAGACAGGAAAAGGTCAACCCCATGGGCATTGATTTGTGCCCAACCGCAAATATTTTTTTTCTTCTTCTTCTTCAACGTTTCCAAAATTCCTTCGGCATAGAATCTTGCCGTGCAGTCCCGCCCGCAGTTGGGGGGTCTTTCTCGCCTCGCCTCCCGTCTAGACTCTCAACGGCCTGGGTTGAGGTGCCTTGCAGTCCTTGCACTAGCCTTTCCTGGGGTTGTCATACACAACCTCTGTGCAGTAGCGGTGCCTGAAAATCTTGTTAGTGAACCTGGTCTCGATTCGATGACTCCCGCCACACCCGCTTGCGGTGAGTGGTAGCTAGAGCCTAGCCTAGCCTAGAAGGCGTCTGCAGACTTTGTTCATGCGTTCCCCCTTTTGGGATTTTCTTTTTGGGTTGGGGGTGGTCGGATTGTTGTATAAGTCATCAACGTCACGGGTCATATAAGAGGCGGTTGGTAGCGCCATGTCGTACACCACAAACTTTTTTTTTCCTGAGAGCTTGTTCTTCAGGCTTCATCGGGTGTTTCGTCTGCCCTTTTTCCTTCTTCTTTGGTTTTCTTTCACGGGTGTGACCTTTTTTTCTTTCTGTGTGGTGTGACTCCGTGTTTGATGTCTGTGACGTTCATGACCTTCTTCCCTTGACGACACGACTTGACGATACCGACCCCTCTGAGACTTTTCGGTTTTTCGAATAGTATCCTTTCTCCACCATAACAGCCTTCGACATACCTTCACCCTCAAAAGCTACGGGTCCTTTCGAACCCGTTAGCTACCCTCCATGAACAACACCATGGAGAAGGATATCACAGACGAGATCGTTATGAGCGATCCCAGCCCAGCTTCAACACCAACGCCGACTCCACTCGAGAAGAAGAACCCCTTGGAAACAATAACACCAGTCTCGGCCAACAGCAGCCTGACAGCCCTCGACCGGGGGGTCGAAGGACAATCCACCGGCGAACCCACGACACTCGTTGTCGCTTTTGCTCCCAATGACCCTGAGAATCCCCATAACTGGTCCAAGGTATTTACTCCTCCTTTTCCTTTTCCTTTCACCTCTTTCTTTTGCCTGTTGTTCCTGCCTCCCAACCCTCCCTTCCTCAAAGGCAACCACTAACAACAAGACCACAAAAAAAGGCCAAAAAACTCCTCATCATCCTCGCCGCAACTCTGGCCTCGACCAACTCGGGCTTCGGCTCCGCCCTCTGCTCCAACCTCAGCCCGCTTCTTGCACTCGAATTCAACTTCCCCACGCCTGGTCCCCAAACCATCCTCCCCACCTCGGTCTACCTGATCGGCTTCATCTTTGGTCCGCTCATCTGCGCCCCCTTGTCGGAAACGTATGGCCGTCGCCCCGTTTTGATCACGGGCTTCTCAATCTTCTTTTTGGCCACATTGGGATGTGCATTGAGTAACTCGTGGGCGCTATTTTTGGTGATGAGGCTGATTGCGGGCACGGCGGGCGCGCCGCCTATCAGCGTGGGTGGAGGCGTGGTGTCGGATGTGTTTGCGGATAAGGTTATGCGGGGGAGGATGATGATGATTTGGAGTGCGAGTTCGTTTGTGGGGCCGCTGGGGGCGCCGATTCTAGGCGGGTTTTTGGGCAGGAGTAAAGGGTGGAGATGGGTTTTTTGGTGAGTCTTTTGTTTTTTTTTGTTTACCAGACGGAGAGCGACAGAGAGGAGAGAGAGAGAGAATGAGAGAGAGAGAGAGGACGACTGCTAACGGGCAGAATAGGTTCGCGTTGATGCTTGCTGGAGTCTCGTTCTGCGCGGTGGCCATGATGCCGGAGACGTTCCATCCTAAACTGCTGAAGATTAGGGCCGAGAAGCTGAATAAGCAGATGGAAGCTGAAGGCAAGGCGAAGGGGGTGAGGTATGTTGCCCCGGTTACTGGCGGGGGTAATGCCGATGGAGAGAAGATGGGTGTTTTGAGGCAGCTTGTGAGTTATCCTGCATACCACCCCTGGTGATTTGATTTACTGGAAAACGTCAAGACTGACAACACACTGTCGACAGAGTATCACGCTCTCGCGACCCATTTTGTTGCTCTGCAACGAGCTCCTTCTCGGCTTGACATGCATGTACCTGGCCTTTGTCTATGCCGTCTTTTACATGATGCTCAAGATCGGCGGCACCATCTGGAGCGGTACCTACCACTTCTCCCCCGGCATCGCCGGCGTGGCCTTTATGACTATGGGCTTGGGAACCATCCTTGCCTGCTTCGTCATCATATGGTACGATTCATATGGTCCCAAGTTTGCGGCTCGCCGTCCTGCCGATCGCAAGTCCGAGTACCTGCGTTTGCCCGTCGCTTGCGTTGGCGGTCCGATCTTTGTGATCAGTCTGCTCTGGCTGGGCTGGACCAGCAGACAGAGTATCCATTGGGCGGTTCCCCTGGTGGCGACGGTGCCGTATGGGTTTGCTTACCACATGATCTTTACTGCCATGATCAACGTAGGTTTTCTTCTTTCCCTTTCTTAGCGTATAGGCTGTGCAGTGGTGCTAACACAAAGGAAACAGTACGTCACAGACGCCTACTCCCCGCTCAACTTTGCCGCCTCGGCCCTCGCAGCGTGCGGTACCACTCGGTCCATCGCCGGTGCCCTGATCCCCTTGGCAATCGATAACATGCTCGCTGCCTTGGGAGTCGCATGGGCCATCACGGTGCTGGCTATCGTCAGTGCCGTTTTGTGTCTGGTGCCATTCGCCTTTATCATCTATGCAGACGCAATCAGGGCTAGAAGTCCTTGCTCTCGATTGGGTGGTCTGACGGCGGAAGACCTCGGGGCGGAGTCGGATGAGGAGGAGGTCGAAGAGGAGGTTGAGGAGGGAGGTAATAGGGAGGATCTGGAGAAGGGAACTGGAGCTGCGCTTAAGCGGGAGAGGACGCAGAAGTCGCAGAGGACTGTGAGGAGTCACAGGAGCAGGATGAGCAGGAGGAGCGGGATGAGCAGGAGGAGTGGAAGGAGTATATTGGAGATGAGCGGTGCGAATGAGGTGGGCATGGGCGAGTTGACGAGGAGTTTGTCTGCTCTTTGAGTAAACGAGGACATGACGGTATACACGCGTGGGTACATGTATGGTTCCGGAAAAGGAGTTTGGGTTTTTTTTTTGTCTTTTCGTCAGCATGGGTTTTGCTGGTTTCATGTCAACTTTTTTTTTTTTTTCAAATCGTTATGATTATACCTAATGTTTTGTCTTGAAGGAAAGAAGAAGAAGAAGAAGAAGAAGAGAAATGAGAAGAAGAAGAAGAGAAATGAGAAGAAGAGTTGATGTCAACACCACCACTAAAAAATGCCGAAAGCCGCCAAGGTAAATAAATATGAACAGAAGCAAGAGAAATTGTTAATTCAGGTCCCAGAATTGGCCAATCATATATGACGCCTTCAACCTTATCGGGCATGTGGGGATTTGTTGATGACGAAGGAAGGGAGGGACCGGGGTGTTACACGAATAATCGGAAGCCCGGCAGGTGGGCACAGGAAATGAGGCCTACGCGGCACTGTCTGAGTGTAATTGTTAGTGCCTTTCATAGTGATACACCGACCACAGTAACAGCAAGTACCTACCTACCTCTAGCCAAGTGGTGCAAGTGGAAGTTCTCGTGCTCGTTCTGTGCAGGTTGTTTGATGCTCGGAAACCAATCAGAATGCGACCCGGGACAGCCCATCAATGCCAGCGAGAATCCGGACATGGCAGAGCTCAGCCAAGGCGGGCCTGAATTGGCGGGCGGGGCTGAGCGGGTTTTGTTCGCTCGCTGGAGCTTGGTTCCGACATGCCCGCGCCCTCCCGCCCGCCGTGATGGTTCAGGTTCAGTTCTCGGTTCCCACGTCAGCAGCTCCGCCAATTTAATTGAAATTCATTCTTTTCGGTGTTTTTCGTCGATTCTTCATCCCTTTCGGACGCGCCTCCCTTTCGTTCCGCCTCTCCAACAACTCATCCACCGGTTGTCGATTCCGTCCGTGTCCCAAACGTTCGTGTATGATAGTAACAGCACATTAGCTTGTGCTGGGCTGGGCTGTCATTGTTGTCGCATTACTGTACTGTATAGAGTACCTACCTTGATACTACCGTGTCGTCCCATCCCAAGAGTTACGAAACACGGACTGCCTCGTCCGATCTCGACCAACGAACTACTACTGATTTGCGACCGACCGACCATTACGCCACTGTTGCGCAAGGTACAGCGTTTCACACAACAAAATCCGAAACACGCGCCATGACTCTCGGCAACAACCCGGCCGACGGCGGCGGCGGCTGCGGCTCTTCTTCTTCTTCGTCGTTGTCGTTCAAAGTACCTCGAGTTCCCTCCTCCGCCATCACAACAACGGCAGCTACAGCAGTTCTGGCCGCTGCATTCATCCCGATGGCGTCCGGTCACGACCACCACGAAGATCAGATCCCCGAGGGCGCGACCATCTCGGTCGAGCCTCTCGATACGACACTATGGCTTCACATCTTTCTGCAGACGTTTGTCTTTGGTATCCTGTTTCCCACGGGCATGGTGTTGGGGGTAGGCATTCCAGGAACATACCTAGAAATGGAGCGGAACAAAAGCTAACGGGGAGACCCAACAGATCGTCAAAAGCCGCTGGCACGTCCCTCTCCAAGTCCTCGCGACCGCCCTCGCCCTCCTCGGATACGCACTCGGCCACCTGCACAAGGGCAGACAATTCGTCTCCAACAATGTCCACGCCAGCTTCGCCAACATTTTGTTTCTTATGATGCTCGCCCAGGTCGTCCTCGGCGTCTACCTGAAGCTGCACCTCGAAAAGGGCTTCCAAGGCCGCATCCGCCCCTTCTTCCGCATCCTCCACAGCATCAACGGCAAGGCCTTCCCTCTCGCCGCCTGGGTCCAGATGGTGTTTGGCGGAATCACCGCTCTCGGCTTCTGCCAGGGCGACCACCTCGGCCAGTGTCTCGCCCACTTTATCATGGGCAGCGCCTTTATCGCCTACGGTGTTCTCTTAACTATCGTTCTTTTGGTCGGTCAACTATGGTTGCGCCGCACCGGCCGTAGCCAGGAATTCTTCGACAGCGCCGTCATTGCCGCCTGGGGTTGCGTCAACACTTTCACCGAACACCGCTGGGGCACGGCCTGGGTCCGCAACGATTGGCAGCACACTACGATGGGTGTGATTTGGTGGGCTGCTGGTCTGGCTGGTATTTGGCTGAGCAAGAACCGGGACGGCACGCCCAAACGTAACTTTATCCCGGGCTTTGTTTTGTTGATGACGGGCTGGGCCATGTCTGCGCACCCGCAGGAACTCATGATTAGCGCCATGACGCACAAGATGTTTGGGTATAGTCTTATGGGCGCCGGTCTGACGCGGATCATTGAGATTTCGTTTATTCTCAAGGATAAGCCGGCTGTGTCGGACCAGGGCTACGAGACGCACAGTTTTCAATATGTTCCTGTTTTTGTGAGTTTTCCCTTTCACTCCCTTCTTACCAATGAAGGAGATGCTAATACGTGCCACGCAGCTCCTCTACGCATCCGGCTTCCTCTTCATGAGCGCCACCGAAGAGCAAATGGCTCTCATCGCCGGTTCGGGAATCGACCACGTCGCTTACGTCCTCATCATTTATTCTATGGCGTTCATCCTCTTCCTTTTCGTCAACATCCTCATCCATCTGTACGACCGCGGTGCCAATGCCGGTAGCCTCAACAAGAGTACCTCTACGCATGGAAACGGCGCGATCCGGTTGAATGGACGGGCTACTAGCGCTACCACCAACACCCAGACTCAGCAGCAGTTGCGTGATGCAGGCGAGTTTGAGTTGGAGGGGTTGATGAGTGATGAGGAAGATGATGATGAGGTTGCGGCGAGGAGGAATTTGTTGAAGAATGAAAGGGATGAGGTGGGGATTGCTAGTCCTGGTACGGCGGCGAGGAGGTAGTGCCCGGTTGGGGATAGGAAAACTGGGAAAAATGGGGGATATGTAATGGTGGGGGGATGGCAGGTAATGGAGATTATTCTATACATATGTGCATTATTACTGGGTTGGTTGGGTGGGATAGGAGTTTAGGTTTTGTTGTTGTTGTTTGTTGGAGGCGGCTCGGCTCGGCTGGCTGACTGGCTTCTTGGAGATTCGGACAAGGAGGTCTGGTCTGGTGTTGGTGAGCAGTTTTTTTGGTGATACAAAAATGAAGGTAACGGGTGATACACGATGTTCGTCTCGAATTCATTCCGCATTCTCCCTGTTGTGAATTTGTTGTGCAAAATGGATGTACGGATGGTGTGTACTACGGAATGCAGGTTACATGTTTCACGAGCTTTGTACTTCTATATTTCCTTATACCTAGGATAAAAGGGAGGTTCACACTTTCGTACTGAATTATCATAGGGCCGGGATTGGTTCGTTGTGTGACGACGCCGACATTGATGTCGCCCGCGCTGACTGAGTCTGGAGTGTCTGACGGGTAATCACGGCTTAGGTACCCGTCTTCAGAACGGTATGAATCAAACTATCTGTTCAACTTCTTTATGATGGCCTAGGGGTATGTCTTTCTATGTCGCCAGGTCTATAATACTTGGAGGCTAGGATCTTGGTGGGAAAAAAAAAAGTCAGTAAGCACTTGAACCCGAGAAGGGGGGGATGCGAGGGCCGAGAGCTAAGGCTAAGGGCATAAAGGGAGGAGTCGATATGAAACTCTCCTACGGGCATTTTAGTTTCTTATCGTATGTATGCCGAACACAGCCTAGCTCGTTCCAAACAAAATTATTAAGACCTTTGATAGGCAATATCCCTTGGGTATACTCTTACTACGCGTCCAAGCGTCTCTACTACATCTTTATGCTTGATTTCTGGGCTTGTTCCTAGATTGAAATATCCTTAAAGAAATCTAGTCGAGATCTTTTCGAATTGTTGTAATCCCTAGCACTGTCTTGCAATGGCCTTTCGCAACTACAACGAGCAGTAGGTATTGGACTGCAGCAAAGGTCTCCATCATTTTTGTTTGTCATGGACAAGCATAGGTACTTACTTGTGTTGTAATGTTGATGTAGATCATGTGCTTGTGCGGAAGATCCGAAGCAAAGGAATGCAGTTGTAGTATGGAGACCAAGAGAAGTTAATGTTTAAGTTCGATAATTTCGGGTTGAGTTGGTTGTATGTATGCCGTATCGGTGAATCGGTCAATCGGTGAATCGGTAACCGGCGCAACACTTAGCGTGCATAGTGTTGGCCTTCCAAATTAGACGCCCACATCAAGCGCTCAGCTTAGTGAGTAAGCTACCCTTCCATGTAGTCATACCGTTGGTGTAGAGTACGAATTGATCTATTTTATCCAATCAACATGAACTCAACCATCCTGCACCTTGAAGCTCTGTAGAACATACCACCAACAAACTGTGAGAGGTCGGATTCTTCTCTGTGGGTATATAGGCTGGGTTTTGGAAACATTACTTCAACAATAAGCACTTGTCACTTTGGCGGAGTGGTTAACGCGCAGCCCTGCTATTACTTAATACTAGGCTGTGTCTTCGGACGCGCAGGTTCGAATCCTGCAGGTGACGTCATGTTTTTTTTAGTTTTTTTTTTGCTGTTCTTGACGTCTAAATGATTCCTTTTTGTTGTTCTTGATGTCTTTCTTTTTATTTCGGTTGAATTGGGCGTGAATGGTGGTTTTTTTTGGTTCATGTTGGTGGTTTGGCACTCAAGTTTGCAGATGTCTGGTACAAAACAAGCAAGTGCATTCCTTCCTGCCTTGAGCGTGCAAAGTACCAAAGTAAGCAAGTGCGTTCACTTCGCTCCTTCCCAGGTGACGGTACTTTTCTCGCTGTCGGAATACTACCAACGAATCTGGAATGGCGCATTCCGACTGTTTTCGTCCTTCTTTTGTCTTTTCGGTTCGTGTTCGCGGTATCGGATTGTACGCTGGTGGTGATGCGCTCGTTCACGGTCTGTCCCTTTCGTTGCTTTGTCCATGTTCGTTTCGGATTCAATGTTGATACTGTTCGCTATCATTTGGTTATCACCATACATGGACGATAATCCATTTAGATTTCCTGCTTTTGTCAATATCTTGTACCAGATCGAACTTCACCGCGACCACAATCCAGGTGTCACTTTGGTAAGAAACTGCACATGACAGTGGAAGTCTAGAACCACACCTCCAATGATTTTCGTTTATCGTACCTCCATTCAATCCGTCTTGTGCTACCTGCAACATTGTCTGCCTGGGACTTGCGGTTCTCATCATCAAGACAAAGGTGCACATCAAAGTCCGGGGTCCCTTGAGAAACAAAAAAGCAAAACGAACATCTCCCAGCATCGCCAACTTAGGAAGAACAAAACAACACAAAGCAAAAAGAAGAAAAAGATTGGACTAACCGCGGATTGAACGCGGGACCGTCTGTATTTTCAATGAAGGCATTGCAAAACAGAAATCATACCACTAGACCATTAGCCCATACGTTAATAGTAGTGTTGAGAAGGTGAGCCTATATGGGGCTAATGCATGCTGACTCCGCTTTGGATGCACTCAGATATCGCGGCAACAACCACATGATAAGAGGTGTCAGTTAAAGAATGATCAACAACTTCAATGATAGTAGTTGTCAAAACTGCTAAAAAAAAGTCCATCTCACACAAACAATCCTTGGTCACGACACCAAGCACCATTGATTCCGAAAGCATCGCATTTTGTCTATCATGTCCTAATCATTCATTACGGGGAAAGTCGGTTGGCTGACGAAGCGAATCCACCTAACCAACGAGTGTCCATTCATTATCATCACCCTTTACCTCGTCTTGGCAATCATTTCCTCAGGCTTCATGCCCCGTCCCTCCGTCAACACACCCGCCTTCCTCAAAATGTTCACAGTCTTGTCAATCACCGCCTGATCAACACCCTGTACCTGCTTGGGGAACTTGACCGTCTTCAACCACTCCCGCGCGTCCTCCTCCGAGTAATCGAGCTCCGTGCTGATATACTTGACGGCCTCATCCTGGTGCTCCTCAAAGTGCTTGATACCCTCGTTAATCTTCTCCATGGCCTCCTCGACGCGCTCGTCTAGCTTCTTTTGCTCGTCAAACAGCTTGGTAGAAGCGACGATCTTCCAGCTGCTCCAGGGCGTGTAAATCTCGCCCACGCGTCTGATCTCGCCCGAGTCATAGTACTTCTTGCTGGTAAAGTGCTCCCACATGAAGAAATCCGCCTCCCCGGAATTGACCGCGTCCCGCAGGTTCTTGAACGTGTTGAGCACCACAAAGTCGCTGAACGGGGAAGCCGTCTCCATGTCCGTGCCCACCGCCGTCGTCGGCACCAGCCAGTCGCGCTGGTCAGCCAGCACGTACCCCATCACGTAACTGCCCGATCCGATCCTCGACACACCAATCTTGCCGCCCTTGAGCGAGTCGACCGACTGGATCTCGGGACGGTCCGCGCCCGTCGAAATGGCCCAGCACAGAGGGGTCTCGACGTAGGTGCCGACCAGACGGTAGCCGCCGTCGGTGCCGAAAGAGGCGTCCTGGGTGGTGGAGGGGTCCTTGCCGAGTCCGGCGACCCAGCCTTCGGTCAGGCCGACGGCGACGTCGATCTCGCCCGAGCGCAGAGAGGTGATCATGTGCCCGGTGCCGGAGGGGAAGGGGATGAGTTCGGCGGAGAGACCATAGTGCTTTTGGGCAAAGTGGATGGGGGTGGAGAAGTGCTCGGGCACGAAGCCGATTTTGAGCGGGGTGGCGGCGGACATGATGATGGTTGTTGTTGAGAGGGTTCTGACTTGATGGTGGTTGCTATTTACGCGGAACGGCTTGAATGGTGATGTCAATGTCGCTGGTGGTGACAGGCGCAGTGAGATTGCCTCTGTTGGTTTAAAAAGGTACTGCTGAAAATGACGCAATGCGGGGCGCATAAAGGATGGTGGTGACACTGATGTAATGGAAAGAATTCCTCTTTCTGAAAAATCGAATGAAAATTGTTTTTATTTGGTTGCTTTCGGGAATAAGATGAAGGAAATCCGGCAGTCTTGTTCCGGATCGACAGCAGTCTCCGGCAGTTTGGCGTGTTACAGACTTACAGGCGGTCCGTTTGCCCCGCTTGCCCCGCGCGGGCCCCGGCGGCCACTGAAGACCTGACGGAAGGAATGAAACATTCGGGAGACCGCCCGGTGGGTCCACCGTCCCCCGGGCCCGCCATATGTTCGTCCGCCGTTCGGGCGATCACAGTGGCGGGGCAGAGCTTGTTAGCAATAATCGTTAAGGTTGGGTGCTGAAAGTGGTGCGAATGGACATCGGACGAATGCTTCCCGTTTGCGACCTTTCATCCAATCCACGACATCACGTCATTGGGAATCTTTCCGTTTTCTTCTTTGAAACGAAACCAATCGTCATGCTATCAACTTCTCAAAATGCCCATGTACAAGTTCTGGGTTGCTTTGTTACACGAAATTTCTAGACCCGACCACCCCTCTATCCTGTGATATGCGACCGCCCCCCTACGCATACTTGGGCGCATTCTGCGGCGAGAATGGGTTGCCCTTGAAGAATCCTTCCGGAAGCTCAAACTTGGCATCCGCAGACCCCCGAAGCAGCTGGATTGTGGTGTCGACAATATCGTGGCCCCAGTTGTACTCGGCGAACTTGGCCTGGGAATCTGTGTGGTGGACTCAACGTCAGCATCCTATCTTCAAGGTACCATATCTTGCAATGCGAACATACCCAAAGGAACGCTGACGTATTGTGCCACCTCTCTAGCCACTCTTTCAGCTTGGTCCACTCCGGCGTTACTCATCACCTGAATAGCGCTCGCCCTGTGTCTCCTGGCCTTCTCAAAGATGGCCAGCCTCTCCTGGATATCCTCAGATGTGGCACCACTTAACGAGATGCCAAGGGCAATGCCGTCTTCAATACCCTGTGCGCCTCCTTGGCCTTGGTGCGGCAACATGGGATGGGCCGCGTCTCCAATGATGACCATCTTGCCTTTGGTCCATGTGGGCACGGGGCCACGATAGAGGAGAGGCCACCGCTTTACTTCGCTCGCTTTGCTGCACCACGGAACATCGCGTTAGCAATACAACATCGGAGGAAAAAGAGGGTGATGACATACTTCAGTACGGCGTGGAGGGAGGGATGGAAATCGGCAAAGGACTTGAGCAAGTGGGACTTATCGACAGGTGTTTGCCAATCCTCCTTGGTGGCGCCTTCCAACTCATCATCGTGGAACATGCCAACACAGTTCCAAACCTCACCACCACGGCATGGATACGCGATGAAGCGATTGCCGAACTTGCTAGCGGTATAGATCCTCATAAGTCCCTCGCTCTCGCCATTCTTGTTCCACCACGCAGTCTCCTCGTCGGCATCTAGGTCAACAGCCGGGATGAGGAAGCGGTAACATCCATTGTAGAGCGATTGAGGCTCTGGCTTGTTGGCATATCCAAGGATGGTCTCAACAGCAATGGAATGGACACCATCTGCCGCAACGACAAGGTCCGCCTTCTTCACAAGGCCCGAGCTAAGGGTGATGGATGGCTCCTCTGGGTTCTATAGAGGCAATTGGTTAGCATAAGGCTACTATTTCTCAGCCCGTGTCTCGGTGACTTCTCGCTACCGTGCCCGGCATGACGATCTTGCGTGGACGGAAGAGTAAGGGGCCGGCTGTTTCATCTCCACATATAGGATATCACCCACATAAGCGACAACCTGCACGCCCAAGCTCAACTCGACAGGCTTTCCCGGACCCTCAAGGCCCATCGCCAGCTTCTTCAAAGACTCATGCAAGTCAACTCGGTGGGCAAAGTACAGAGGACCGCCATACACCTTGGGAACCCAGTCACCGAGTGGGGTGAAGTCAAACTGCTGAAGAGTGGCTCCGGATCCAATGGCGATGCCGGTGGACGCAACGAACTTGTTCTCCACAGGATCCAAGCCCCATGCCACGAGGGAACGGTTGGCATTTGGAGGCACATGAATGGCGGCGCCAACCTCATTGTTGAGCTCTGATCGCTCAAAGATGCGAACGTTGTGGCCCGCCCGGCGAAGCGAGATGCCGGCAGCCAGCCCTGCGATGCCCGCTCCAACGATGATTACATCGAGGGACTGGTCTTGAGTGAGGGCAGGCATGATGATGGCAGTATGAGAGTGAAACGAATATGGGAATGCAACCGATGCTCAGAAAGTACTCATGCAATGAGACTGACAGGAGGATCAGCACAAGACAGAACTTGGTAAGGAAGATACAGTAACACAGAGGATCAAAAGCAGCCTTCCTGGCCCACGGCGCGTTCCCAATAAGAAGGCTGAAGAAAGACACCACGCGGACGGTACCATGCAAGGTCTTGACCCCTGACCCAAGGATTACGAACTGTCTCGGCCTTCACCATCCGATAGTGGAATCTCTACTATCACTGCAACGCAGCATGGCGGAAGCTTTCGATACAACCCGTGATATGATTGTATATATACCTCGGCAGGAATGTTGAGACAAGCTATGTCTTACAGTAGACACCCCTGCTTCGACATCTAAGGAATCCGACTAGCTATTTCCTTGCATTTCAAGGGATTCAAGTGAATCTTGCAAGAGAGGGGAAGGTGCACAGACCCGCCGATCAACTTTGCCCATTACTGTGTATAATCGCGAGCTGGCTACTAAAAAAGCGGAGTAATTCCGCGTCTATCATTTTGGCCATGATCTGGAATCAGAGGCTTTGAAATCGGAGTAACTGAGAAACAACAAAAGGATATCACCAGCTATCTCACGGCAGAAATCAGCCAGTGAAATGGAGATTGAAAGGACGGACCCAGGAAACATACAGAAGACACCGGCGTGGAACAACTGTTGCATTGCAACATGTGTCCCGCGGTACCAAAGATTGCGTTGCGTTGACCATCTGAAAGAAGCAATGGAATCGTATGAGACTTGCCTCGGAGAGTTACGCTATCTCGGCCCTTGATCCCCATATATTTTTCTTCTTGCCAACAGCAAGGGGTCAAGTTTGGTTGGAGCACACCTTCCAGGCCAAGACATGGAACCCAAGGGAGAATCGCGAACCACAAGCATGTTGACATTGATTGGCAGGATCACTTCAGTCTGTCTACGTATGTTAGCCCGACGCCGCAGAGCACTCGATATCTTTCTTATTACATTATTTGGGCCTCTTTTTCGCATTATCTATCTAATGCTCGATACGTAGTCGTCGTGATATGGCGTCGTCACTCGACGTTTCTGGGTTTAGACAAGCTTCAACAATGCTGGGGCTAAAACACCCGTCATTCCAGCTGGAATTGGGCAAAAAGAAAAGAAAAAATCCTATAACAAATGCGAGGGGGGAAAGGATGATACATCACTGGTTACCAAGGGGATGAATGTGGCAAGAGACATTGATATCAAGTACCTACCTAGGTACAGACAGGGGAGAGACAGTTGCGCTTTGACCCCTCCGGCCGAGCTTCCACTTATGCCGCTGGGCTGTAACGTCAACTTGCTAGGGGTGCTCGGTGCTCGAGCCCTCCCACAAGACCCCAAAACCCCCGGAAGAGCATCAGTGGATTCGCTGGAGGATTGGCCGCTAGCGGAGAAAGGTCGCTAGCGAGCCGTTCCGGAGGGGACCAGGGCATCGTTGATGTGGGTGGTGGGGGGACATCGACATATTGAGAATGTCACCACCGAAAAGAAAGATGACTGGTGAGTGCGAATTTCTTCACTTGCCCATACAACTCATGGATTTCGACACGGTATGAACAGCGCTGGAACGTCAACCCTCGGAAATCGTACGCTTTTTGGCTTTCTCTTTGATAATGGTAAATACCCAGAGTTGAACCAAGCTTCGCAAGCGGTTGTCACCGGAAAAGGGTCTCGTCTTCTTGTTCCAAAAGACCGAGGAACCCAACTGACGTGCCATCAAAAGGAAAGGCCAACAAATGTCTCTGCTTTTTCCTCCAATTCCTGGCCTGACAAGGTAAACTGACAGCCAGCTACGGCGTTCACTCACCTAGCCCAGATCAAGCTAGGCCCTAGCTGATGACACTTGACATGTCGATGGTGTCACTGTCCTTCTCCCAGGCTGTCCCTCCTCCTTCTCCGCATTGATAGTTGCCCCTGGCCCTTGAAACCTCTCACACCCATGGGTCCCAGCCGTTCTCTTCCTGACCCTCGGCTTTCCAGAGGAACGAATAAAATGCCCCGTCCTCTCCGCCTATTGTCCTTGTCGTTACGATCCCCTTGTCTTTCCCAACGTCACGCATCTTTGCAATTTCGCCTGTTTACCCCACCGTATCCTGCTGTCCGTCTTAGTGGACTGGCCTGGACTTTAGCGTCCGCGAATAGCGGCTTGGGAAGACCTGTAAATGTCGCATCTGTCATGTAACGGTAACTATGGTAATTTTGGCGTTACCACCGGTGACAGATGGCCTTGTACGGGCTGGACACTCGATAAGATTATCTTCTTCAAGCGCACTACTATTTCTTCGATATTATGGCAGGGTCTCCTATCCCCCGTTCTTCATCAGAGACGCATTAACTTGTTCCCCCGCTGTTATTGGCCTCGCGGCTCAGGCCTAGAACGAAGCTACCACGGGGGCTGGGCAATATCATGTAGCGTTGTGTGGCCGCATAGTCCTTGGTAAGGAGCAATTACATAGGCAGATTTTTGGTGGCTGGACTCCGGCCTCAGTATTCTTGGTCTTTCAGAGTATGGACCAGGTGGCGGACGTTGCAGAAACGCAAATTTTTGTCTTTGACACCCATATGAACATACATATCCCTTTCGGCATCTTCGTATCTGCCGGCTGTTCTTCCGTCTTGGTACTTCACATCAGACACTTCTCTTCTCCCTTTTCTGTCTGTGTCTCTTATGCAACCTCTCGGATAAGAAAGTGTTCTTCACCTTACACCTTTCACTTCTCCCACCTTCCATTGTCTACGAGTCTGAGAATTCCCACTGCCGTTACACTCATCCAACTGTTCCTGACACTCGACATAATTCCATCCAGCACAAGCAGTTGAGTCGAGAAGGAAAATATGGCAGACACGGCAAGGGAGGCTGGATCTTCCCCAGGCATTGCTTCCCAGCATGACCAGCACCCGGAGAAGGGCACGGCTCAATCATCACAGACTGCGGCTTCCGATACCTCGTCCTCACGGAGCGAACCTAGGCCGCACCTTCACGCAAAGACCTTTTTGGCTGTCTTTGCCATTTGTGTTATCTACTTTGTCCAGATCTACAATGTCGTCGGGAGTGGAGCTGTAAGTGCCGATCCCCATCTCCCTTGTCCTGAGACATCTCGTCATGCAAGTTCCAGTGCACTGACCTCAGTCTGTCGCAATACAGCAAACGAACACTATCGCCATCACACTCGGTAATGGAAGCACGGCTGACGGAGTATGGCTCTCGTCGTCGATTGCCATTGGCACGGCCGTGCTGAGTCCCATCTTCTCCCAGGCAGCTGACTACTGGGGTCGTCGCTGGTTCTTGGTTCTTTCTACCTTTATTGGTGCCGTTGGCTCCATCATCGTGGCCCGGGCCACCTCGATGAACATGGCCATTGCCGGCTTGGCCATTACTTCCATCAGCTACGGCGCTCAGCCCCTTCTGCACGCCGTGTCCTCCGAGGTCCTTCCGCGCCGCTACCGCTCATGGGGCCAAGCCGCTGACCTCATCGCCAACGGCCTCGGTGGTATCACTGCCCTGCTTTGCTCCGGCGCTTTCTCCCGTACTTCCAACGTCCCCTCCGAGGGTTTCCGGAAGTTCTGGTACCTCGGCACCGGTCTCTTCGTTCTCGCCACCGTTCTGTGCTTCGTCTTCTACAACCCTCCTCAAACCGAGCGGGAGCGATCCTTTTCCTTCTCCGAGAAGCTCGGCAAGCTCGACTGGGTCGGCTACTTCCTCCTCACCTCTGGCATTGTCCTCTTCTGCATTGGCCTCTCCTGGTCCGAGAACCCGTTCCCATGGTCGAACGCGCACGTGTCCGCCACCTTTGGCGTCGGCATGGCTCTCATCATTGCCCTGGCCGTCTACGAGACCTTTTTCAAAAAGGACGGCATGTTCCACCACGGCCTGTTCAAGAGCCGCAACTTCCCCATTGCGCTCGTCTGCCTCTTTTGCGAGGGTCTCGCCTTTTTCAGCGCCAACAACTACTTTGCCTTCCAAGTCGGCATCCTCTACGAGACGGACGCCCTGCTTGTCGCCACTCGCTACTCCATCGCCATCATTGTCTCCATCTTCTCCGCCGCCGCCGCCGGCATGTACTGCGCCCATTACAAGCGCGTGCGCTGGATCACGGTCGCTTCCTTTTGCATCTTTACCGCCTTTTTTGCTTGCATGGCCACTTCGGGTGTGGGTTTCGACACCGAGGTCTGGGGATACCCCGTCCTGCTCGGTACCGCCCTCGGCATGTCGCTCTGCGTTCTAGTCACCATTGCACAACTATCCACCCCGCCTGAACTCATCGCGATCGCCACGGGGCTGGTCATTGGTCTCCGCTCGCTCGGCGGGTCTGTTGGCCTGGCTATCTACAACGCCCTTCTCAATGGCGCCTTGAATCACTTGGGGGATAACATTGCTCAGGCCGTGCTGCCCCTTGGCTTGCCGCCGCAGTCGGTTGGACCGTTGATCGGTGCCCTGGCGGATCACCATGAGGAGCTGATCCCCAAGATTGAGGGTGTGACGCCGCAGATTATCGAGGCGGGCGTGTATGCGCTCAAGGAGACGTTTGCGACGGGGTTCAGGAGGGTGTGGACGGCGGCGAGCTGCTTTGTGGCGGTGGCGGCCATCGCGGCGTGTTTCTTGAAGGAGGAGGGCAAGGAGTTTACGATGCGGATTGATAATCCGATTGAGAAGGAGGAGGAGTTGTATTCTGATGTGGAGAGGGCGCACGCTTAGGTCATGAACATGAATTGGAGGATTTACGGTGTGGTGATGGATGCTGCCTAGAGGTTCCTACCTAGGTACGTACATCACGAGTGACGGGGATGAGTTGACGAGTTGGTGTTTAAGTTGCTTGGGTGTTCAAAAAAGCCATGTGGACATGACGAGAAAGCTTAGATCTTTGGGATACCCCTTTTTTGTCGATCGTTCAAACGCCCACGCAAAATTGTTTCGCATGCGATGGTTTTTTTCTTTATTATTCTTTATACGACCTTTCTTAATCTGATACTATAGACATAGATCAATAACAACATTGGTTCAGGACTTGTATCGTTTAGTCCGCTCAGCTCATGTGGGTTGGTCTACCTGTGCAAACTTGTTTCTATACAATACTCCCGTCCATTGCACCAAATTTCTCCCAGGTACTGTCAACATGGAAACTCTGAATGGCATGCCCTGGTTTCTATTTCTCGTGCATCGGCTTGTTCCATTTCTCGCCACCTCGGTGTTCAGTTGCAATAATGCCATGGGAAGAAACGAAGATATTGAAAAAATAGAAGGCCTTACAAACCTACCCCTAAGGTAGGTACCTACTACTGTCACAAGTCTCAGCTGAACAAAATCCACGTGGCAAGGCCCTGTTAAGAGGTAGCGACTTTCTTTTTCTTTCTTTCTTTTTACTTTTATCTTTTTCTTATTTCTAATCTTTTTCTTTCAATTTCCTTTTTCTTCTTTTCCAGCGCATTCAGGTTCTCTATCTACCTAGCTTACCAGTCTGTCGGATCCGAATGTGAATCTCTTTTCTTTTTCTGTAGGTAGGGCGAGGCAATGCTCTGTCGAACGATGGGGTTGCCCTGGTTGAGCTGCCTGGAGTCCATTGACGGGCCATTGGGAAGGTTGATGGAACAACACCCGGCCGTCTGAGACTTGATATAGTCCCGGTCGGGGCGCATGAGAATCAAGACTTCCAGCATTCAGCATCGGTCTTGTTCTGAAAAAAAAAACCAACAAAAACAAAGATCATCCAGGAAGAGCGTTCTGTCCATGGAATCAAGGCTGCTCCTCCATTGATTCCCAAACTCCCGTTCCTAACAACGTCACGGACCAAACCGACCTCATCAGTCTCAAGAAAATAGAGGCTCGATAACGCACACGTGGAGATGGTGGCGTCAAATATTTTCCAGCTTCCTCTTTTTCACAATACCCTTCTCCACCTCGCGTATGTCCCTTGCGTTACATCCTCTGCCGCGTTTATCCTTTTCTCTTGCATTCGCTATCTGCGAAATCGTAAGTTGTCATGCTTTAGCGAGACGCATTGGCAAGGACGCAAAAGGAAGGGTAGGTAAAGAACACGGAAACGGGAGAGGAAGCGAGCACGGCGATAAAGTTCTGATGGCTCGTCGTCTAAGTCTAGACGCCGACGGATCCCTACCGAGGGTCACTTTCCCAGTGTGGGTGGGATTACAGGGTCGCCTATACCTTGCAGCGAACAACGGAAGGGCATGCCGTCTCGTACATAGTGTAGAGGTATGGGACGTGGTTGGCTGGTTGTTGAAAGAAAGGGTTGGTACCGAGTGTTACGGTTCGTTACCAAGACGTAACGTAATGACGGTACATTGATACAGACTGTAACGCCGTATGTTCGCTACCGGATTCTGACTTCTTGTCTTTCGGGGACACTTCCTCATCTTGCACATTCGTTGAGCCAAGATTGCTACGGCAATAAAAGGCAGGTACATTTCTAGGACCAAGACGAAAAAGATCTTTTTGATCCTTGAAACGGGAGATTTCGCATCATGGAGCGGGCCGAGGTGGAAGTCTGGTTCGTTGGTTGTCAGCCAACATGTTGAATTGTTAGTGCATCCTGTGATTTGCACTGCACGGACGGACACAGACACTAACAAAACAGAACTGAGAGAAAACACGGTGGCGCTTTCACACCTTCCTCGGCATTTACAACGCCGTCACGATCCTTGCGATTGCCGTCAATGGTGTCACACGTTACGGCAGTCACCATTCACCACATTGAACTTCCATCTTGTCGGGACGGTGGCCGCAAAGCTATCAAGGTTCCCTTGAAGCGAACGTCGACTTTAGCTGTCACTTTTCTTTTTCTCCCCCTCCCCCGCCTCGTTAGGGGCAGGCACCCTTTCCCTTCCATGATCAACGTGATCGGAGCGAGGGCCTGAGCGAGACAGGGACTTTTCGTGACCACCACCAACCACTCGACTAGTCGATCATATGTTCAATATTCCCAAACATACCCCAGAAGATCGGCCATTGTCTGGATCTATCGTCGGCAACGATGCCTGTGCTCAATCACATAGGGTATCCATGGCGTACTCGATTCGGGCATGCTTCTTCCTCTAATTGGCTACCTCGGCCGTCGTCCTCACTTGCGAATCACTTTCCTGTTCAAGCGTCAATACCAGAGCCTCGACATTGCGCATCATTTCTCACTATCGATAGGTCGTTCGGATATGACGACAAAGTTGAGACTTGATCGAATTCACATTGGTGATGGGTTAACAATGAATGAATGGCCTTGCTTCTCTTGAGGTTCTAGAGCTCTGTCCTCTACATTGTCCATCGAGATCCCGCTGAAGAATTGCTTCTGATGAGCTCACCTTGAGCTTGGCTATCTCGGCCGTCAAAGCAATTTTTTACCTTGCCTTCAGCTGAGGAGAACGAGAACTACAAGGGCAGGCGAAACACGTGCGTCGGAAGGATCATGAAGCTTGCCAAGTACGGATCCTAACATTCTGGAGTTCTGTCTGCGTGAGCTCAACCGATTCTCATGCTTCGTGGTCCTCGCCCATTTCTTGTTACCACTCATTCCGAAACAATGGTCCATAGGTACTAGCCATCTTCACCCCTTCTCTTATCTTCCTCTCCCCGCAATGGATCTTGCTTCTTCACGTCAAGTGACAGCGGAGATCGTTGGCTCTCGCAAGCACCAAGGGTCTTAGCACATGGTGAAATCCAGGAACAGACTCGCAATGGAACCCACGTGTATTGTCTATCTCCACATGGTCCATTTGCTCTTACTCCGAACCCATCCTTATTGTCCCTGACAAGACCTGACAATGCATCCTCGCTTGGACTCCCATTTCCCAAACAAGTAATGTCTTCGTGCTCTGCAAGCACACAATAGTTTGCCGGACCAAAAAAATGTATCATATCCGTTGTGCTGGAGCTGGAAATAAGACTATCATCCCTTGCTTCAAACCATCCTCCCTGCAAAGACCAATCTGGTTCATCGCGCCCAGACACGCAGCAGTCTACTATCGAAACAGAACCCTCAAGGATCTGATTGGCGAAGGGTAAATCGGGAATGATGGCCGGGACTATGTACGTAACTCGGCGCCCCAAGCCCTCAACCCAAGCTCGTCCCAAGACACTGCATGTTTCTGATTCCTTCCTTCTTGGATACCTGTAACCTTGATGGGCACACCAACTGTCCCAAGACATTGGCCCCCCATGGACCCTATTCGGTCCATCCCTGCCGACCCTTACCTTGAGGGCTTAGACAAGCCACAGCCATCATTCGAAGAGGGCTTCGTATAAGCATACATAGTGCGTGGGTCGTTGTATGGGTGTATCAAGTCAGTCACAAAGATCTCAACTCGGCGTACTCGACATACGCAAGGTGTCTGGTCGATCCATGGACTCCAAGAATTTGGCTCGGACGCTTTGTAAATCCTCCGTTCCGCGTGCGGAACAACCGTCACCTTCCTCTCTTTCCTTCAACTAGCTCAAGCCTGCCTACTTCCCACCCTCGGCCTAGTTGCCGGTCTTGCATCTGTGCGGATGGCCGAGATCTGCCCGTCTCCAATTACTTTTTCCATTTTGACCATCCAAATCAGCACGAGGAGTCTCCTAGGTCCACCATGTGTTGTGCGTGACCTGATCTCCAGATCCCAAATGGTCGAATAGTTGTCAAAGCCCACGAGCCAACACCACACTTCAAACGACTACTACCGTGACGGAATACTACCCCCTTCTTGCGTTTGTGCTGCCCTCGATAACACGCCAAGTTGAAACAGACACACACACCGCACTGAAAGAGGGAGAGAAGAAATATACAAGTTCTGGTAAATACACGGAGCCCTGATATAAGTCCCGGCACTCTGGAGACGTGCCGTCCGTGGGAGAGAGATTCCCATCTTTTTTGTGTGCTTGCCGAAACTTTCCTTCCTCGAGACTTTTGCGACACTGTCGATTTCAACCCACCTGGGCAACTTCAACGTGTATAATCAACCACCCACCCAAACATCAGCTTACCCGAACTCTCTCCCACCCGTCAACATCAGGCATTCGCCACCGGATCTATCCACTCCTTGCTACCAATCTCCCCTTGAAGGGTGAACAAACATACGCTACATCGGGGAAGCGACAATACCTAACTACTACGACCAGCAAGCACCGAATCAAGATAACGAGAGAGATAATAACGACAAAGGCAAAAGAAGCGGAGAATGCTATCCAGGCGATAGCACCCTGCCGACGTCGTCAAAATGCGGATCGCCGACCGGGCCGTGGCGGTGGTGGTGGTGGACATCATATTCACCACACTGGCCTTTATTACTGTGTGTTTCCGACTGTTTACGAGGGTGGTTTTGGTTCAGAATGTTGGGTCGGATGATTACTATATTGTTGGGTCGATGGTGAGTTTTCTTTTCTTTGTTATTATTTCTTTTTTTGGGTCCTGAGGTTTACGATGGATGGTGTTGTGGTTGTTCTTGTTGTTGTTGGGGAACTTCCTAGCTGGAGCTGGAAGAGAACAAACAATGAAACGGACCGCGGACCGGGCCGCGCTTACGCCGCTCTTTACATGTACCACGTGGGGTTGGTGGTGATGATGATGTTTGCCAACATGGATAAGATGCCACAGGTTTACAACGGCAGGGAAGAATGGGGGGCGGTGACGGGGATGAAGCTATTCCCCCTGGTTGCTTGCCCTGTTGGGTGTCTGTCGATCACTGCTGGATGGAGAGGAGATCGAAAGGCAACTTCAATGGACATGACATGGGCTGATATTTACTTCTACCTATTTACCCTGGCTGACAGATATCGTCGATCGCATATCTTACTGTTGTAATGATGCGTAAGTTCGGTTCTTTTCTCTCATATCTCCCCCCGCAATGACGACATGCGGACTGACAATGAATGACTTTTCGCAGAGATCAAAGCTGGACTAGGGAGGCATCTGATGAGTGAAGATGAGGTTGTTGGGTTTTTATACGTGAGTGCCTCTGCCTAAGTTCAACCAAACCAAACCTGCATCGACATAGACCTCAGCCCCTGACTGACTGACATGACTCCCCAATGATAGGCTCTATGGGCAACCATCTGGATCTACTCCCTCGCCCTCATGTTCGTCAAGATGTCCATCACGGTCCAATGCTACCGCGTCTTCCGCACTCCACGGATGCAAAAGTTCTTCAAGATCTATTTCGTTCTCGTCGTCATCTACGGGCTCTGGACCGTTTTCGGCACTTTCTTCACCTGCTGGCCCATCAATCTCTGG